ATAAGCCAAAACGTAAAAAAGCATACCCTACCCATCCGCCAGCCTAGCCCTACTGCCTTAAAGGCCTTCTAACAGTTCTCTGCTGTAAACATATTAAAAAACGCGTCCTTAAAGGCAGGGAGAAAGCCTTCTTTGTTAATATAGATGTCAGATAAGAGCGAGCGGCGAGAGGTCGGATCTGCGCAATCGAGCAGGGACCTGTCGTGCAGCCAATCAGCAGTTGCCAGGTCGATTAAGCGAGACCTGGCAACTCCTGATTGGCCCGCACACAGGCGGCCGCGAACAGCGCTAAGTCCCCCCCCACTTCAATCCTGTAGCAACCAGCACGACGCCACAGCAGAGACACTATCGCCACAATTATCAATAAATCATTATACCACCTAAGATCTTGTTAAGCACATACTCTGGCTCACAGTGCGAGAATCTGACAATTAAGAGTCTCACTGCCGCAACTAAACTGCCGCAACCTTACTGCTGCAACCTCACTGCCGCAATTAAAATGGCGCAACTAGCGTACTGCGACCCAACAGCAGTCCTTAGAGACCAAGCTAACTAGACTAGCTAGCTCGCGCAGCTACATGCGAGATGCCTGTCACGCAATATCTAGGACAAGATTAACCTAAAGACAACTACACTACTACTATTATAGCTACTCTTGCTAAGGGCTCTAACTATTACTAACTACGTGCTAGCTGCAAACACTAACATACTATTAAGGCTAACTAAGCTATTAATAACAGGCTAGAAGGTATTTAAGGAAGACCTTAAGTACTATAAAGTACTCCCTAAATAATAAAAGAATAATTAATATAAATATAAGGAGGAGGAAGCAAGTATTTAGCATATTATTATATTTATCTAGTTAACTATAATACTATATCTACTATACACATAACGTGTTTCACCACCAAGCGGTCACCCCCACCGAGCGGTCACCCCTCATCAAAATCGCGACTATTGCAGACTATCACAACAATGCCACCACAACGCAACGCGCAATCAACCTACAACGAAGGTACACTATACCTTGCTATCCAGGCTACCCAAGCTACCCCTCCTGATACTATAAAACACGCGTCAAAAGCATTTAACGTCCCCCGAACAACGCTAGTACGACGACGCGCTGGAAGGCTCGCCCAACGCAACTGTCAGCCCAACTCAAGCAAGCTAAATAAGATAGAGGAGGAGGCAATAGTTGCACGTATACTTGAGTTAGACGCGCGAGGGATAGGCGCTACAAGGGCTATGGTACAAGAAATGGCTAATGATCTCCTTGCTGCACGCGGTGAAGGACCTGTTGGCAAGAACTGGGTAGACAGGTTTAGAACGCGTACCAAGGAGGTCAAGCTTCGACGCAGTCGCTCATACGATCGTCAAAGAGCCCTAAACGAAGATCCACGCGTTATAGAGCCGTGGTTCAAGCTGGTTGCCAATACAAAGGAGAAGTACGGGATTCTAGATGAAGACACACACAACTTTGATGAGTCTGGCTTTATGATGGGCATGATTGCTGCTTAAATGGTCTTTACAGGCTCTGAGAAGCGAAGCAATCCTAAGAAGATACAGCTAGGCAACTGAGACTGGGTCACAATCATCTAGGGCATCTGCGCTGGTGGGTGGGCTATCCCACCCTTTATTATCTTTAGTGGCAAGGTCCTTATATCAAGCTGGTATCCAGGACTACCTCGCGACTGGGTAATTGAGACCAGCGCCAACGGCTGGACAACAAATAAGCTTGGCCTGAAGTGGTTGAAGCACTTTGACGCGCATACAAAGGAGCGTACTGTGGGTGCGTACCGTCTGCTCATTGTGGACGGCCATGAGAGCCACAGCAACCACCAATTCCTTAAGTACTGCGAGGAACAGAAGATTATCACTCTCTGTATGCCTCCTCATTCATCGCACCTGTTGCAGCCGCTTGACGTAGGCTGTTTTGCCCCATTGAAGCGGGCGTACTCTGCTAAGATTGACAGCTGGGCGAGGTACTCTGTCACGCAAGTCAAGAAAGAGACGTTCTTGCCAGCCTTTCGCATTGCTTTTGACAAGACGATTACAAAGGAAAATATCCTGGCAAGCTTCAGAGGCTCTGGTTTGGTACCCCACGACCCAGAGCGAGTGCTATCGAAGCTTGATGTGGTGCTTCGCACGCCGACACCTCCACCACCAGAGGCCACCCCATGGGAGTCAAAAACGCCAGCCACCCTAAAGGAGATAGAGGCGCAATCAACGCTAGTTCGTGAGCGCATACAAAGGCATAGAGAATCACCAATCTCTCCTCTTCTACAGGCTGTTAATTCGCTTGCAAAAGGCATGGCTATTATAGGTCACAATTCAGTGTTACAGGCGCGGGAACTGGCTGGTATTCGCAAGGCAATGGCTACTCTAACAGAGCAGCGCAGTCGCAAAAGAAAGTATATTCAGGTAGAGGAGAGTCTAACAGTAGGTGACGTACTAGATTTAATAGCTGAGAAGGACTGTAGTGGTGGGGAGGCAGCTGAACAGGGTGCAAAGAGGGTGCGCAAAGACCAACACTGTAGGCGTTGTGGCAAGACTAGCCACAATTCGCGCACCTGCACAGCAGAAATTATAGATTTAGATAATAGCAATGCTTCTGAATAATATTTTAGGCTATACTATGTTTTAGTGCAGCGTTGTGGTGTAGAGATAATTAACTACAATAGTCGCGATTTTAATAAGGGGTGACCGCTCGGTGGGGGTGACCGCTCGGTGGTGAAACACGTTACTATCTTTATAAGAAACTACTATAATAGTAGATTATAGACCTATAACTTACTATTAGGATTAATAAATAAATTAAACAAGAATAAGCCTAAGATAGATACCTCTTAGCACTTAAGCTAATAAGAAGTACATTATAATAGGATACCTAGCTAGCTAAGTATAACTAGGCAGCTACAGAAGCAGAGACGTACAAAGTTGCTAAATTATTATAATTAAATAACGTACCTCACGGGCTCGTGGATCACCCGGGCTCGTGGATCACTCTTGCCAAGCCCCCACCAAAACCACCCCATTCTGGCGCAAAATAGCCCACTTTGGCCCTGTATAGTACAAAGCAAGATGCGATATCATTCAGAGTCTACTTCTACTACCTTCTGGCAGGTACGCGCATTATGCCTAGTCTCTTTGCACTGTGTACACTGTTGTTAAGATAGTTTACCTACTTTAGCGCGTACCCGCCTCTTTAGCTTCTTCCTATCACTACGCGCCCTAAAGTCCTTAAGAGCAGCTAAACAAGCCCTATCCTCAACTGTTAAGGTCCCCTCTGCTTAAACCTGCTTTCTTTTGTGCGATCTACGTCGCGTAGCAGCCTCATTTGCTGCTTGAAGCTCTGCAATCTCCTTTTGCGCTAACACTAGCTTGTGCGCGATAATTACTGCTCCCTTTAAGACCTTCTTAAAAGCCTCTACTATAGACGTTAGTAAGCTATCTACATGCCTCTAAATCCTTGCCTTCACAAGCGTTAATTGTAATCCTAATTTAAGAGTATTGCTTAGGGTTTGCAACTGCTAGGGCTTATTGCTAGGGAGTAGTGGTAATAGAGTACGTAGCCAGACATCAAGCGCTATTATAACCTGTTCTAGGTTAAATAGGACTAATCTAGCGCCTCAAAACCCTCCTTAGATATTACTAGGAGTAATTGCTGCATTATAGGCGCGTATAAAGCATAGTAAGAACTTAAGCTTTGTGATGTAGGTAATCTAGTTACGCATGAGATTCTTAGCTTGGCGGCCATACGCTGTCTTCAAAGGCGAGAAACACCCCACATCAAGAGGCTGCAGGAGGTGTGATGAGTGTGGAGGCATGCAGATAGTGATAATCTTGTTCTCCTTGCAGTATTCCTAGAAAGCGAGCGAGTTATGGCTCTTATAGCTGTCAATTGCGAGCAGTTGGTGGCTACTAACTACTCTCTTCTTTATATGCTTATTAAAGTGCTTTAACTACTGCAGGCTAAGCTTATTTGTTGTCTAGCTGTTCTTAGATACTGCAATAACCTAATTGTGAGGTAGATCCCCCTCCTTGTACTAGGCAGAGAGGTGATAGCGGCCCTTGAAGATAATAAAGGGTGGAATAGCCCACCCTGTCGCGTTGATGCCCTAGATGACTGTTGTCCACTCTCTATTGCCTTGCTACACTGCCTTTAGCTGTCCTCGTCTCTCTAAAGCTGTAACAACTAAACTAGTAGATATCTAGCCTATCATGAAGCTAGCCTCGTTAAAGTTGAACGTATCTTCATCTAGGATGCTATACTTAGCTTTAATGTTAGCTGCTAGGCCAAACCAGCCTTATATAATCTTAGGATCCTTGCAGAGGGCTCTCTTGTAGTTGTATTTGCGATTAAACTTTGTTGTGAGCTCAGGGCGGCCTTTGACAAACGTACTGGGCCAGTTTGAGCCAACTTGGCCTATATTGCGCTCTGCGCGCAAAGAATTGGCCATATCAGCCACAGCTGCAAGCCTGGGGGGAAATCCTCGGGTGACTAGCTTAAGTATATGCTCAACAACTACGTCCTCCTCAATCTTAGTCAGATTCTTTGATTTAGGCTAGTAATCTGCTTGTGGAGTCTGTCCTGCGCGTTGGCGGCTTAGTGTTGATTGAGCGACGTTGTAGATAGCTGCAGCGCGTCGCTGAGAGAGTGTTGCGTCTTGTTTAAGAGCCTGAAGGGCAGTCTGTATCTGACGTTCATTAGAAGGTTCTATCTGGCGTTGTTGTTGAGGCATCACGTAGGAAGGTAGAGTTTGGTGGGGGCTTGGCAAAAGTGATCCACGAGCCCGGGTGATCCACGAGCCCGTGAGGTACGTTATAATAATAAAGGACTTCCTAATAGCTATTAATAGGGTTACGCCTATCTAGGCTACAAGCTTTTAAGATAGCAGACACTTTAAATCTAGTATAAGTTAGAAGGAGATAATAAAACACTACTAAGAGTATAAAATAATAAATTATCCCCTTAGATTAGGGCAGTATAAGGCCTTTATAGCTAATAATATAGTATTTCTTATTAAAGGGGGTGCAGCCTCCTAGAGCTATAAAGGGGACACCTAATATGCTGTAAGCGTGCTATCTTAATAGGGCATACCTTAATATTAATATATAGCAGGTAGGAAAACTACTATACTTAAGTAGCCTTTAGATTAAGAGCCTACTTCTACTAGGGGAGTAAAATGCCCTGTATGTAGACAACACTACTCTATATAGGATTACTACTATATTAATTAAGACAGAGCTCCTAAGTAGTAGAAACTAAATAAGATTATTTCTAAACTTATTAAGTTTAAGAATAAGAAAGATATTACCTTTTAAGGGCTACTTTATACATAAAGTAAGAGCTAATTAAGAATACTAGTAGTAAAGCACTTACACACCCCTACCCTAGAAATCCTAGATAATTAACTAGAGGGCTAAGAAATTACTAATATTAAAGTAGTACTTAGTATAGTAAACTAACAGGACACTACTAACTATCTACTATAGGAGTTATTTATACTTAACTTAGGTTCTACCTGTTATATTACTTATAACCCTAACTGCGTCTATAGGTTCTAACAGCTATTGCCTAGAGACTTTATATAGGCTAGGAATTAAAAGGTACTAGTTAGAGGATATAGATTAATTAATCTACTCCTAAAGAGTAGAGCTAGTATAACTAAGGTTACCCTTATAGATATAGCAATTTGCCTAGACCTGCTATGCAACCTAGTGTCCTTCTGCCTACTACAAAATAGAGGTATATAGTAGGACACATAAGCAGACCTAATAACTCTCTAATAAGCAAATAGCTAAGTAATTAGAGTAGTATTAGAAATACTTAGCTAGTAGGTGCTTAAGTATAAACTGTCCCTACTAGCTACTAACTACACACTTAAAATTACTACACGCACTAAGAGAGGACTATAGAAGGCCTTAGCAATATAGTAGCACAAGCATCTTAGTCACCCTAGTCCTGCTGCAATTAAACACATTGTCTAGCAGACTTAGGGGGTGTAGATCTAAGGCATTACTATAGTTAAATATAATACTTATAGAATAGCTAAATTATAATAGTAAATTAGCTACACACTAAGAATTATTAATAACAGACCTAGAGAAAGACTTAGTATTAACTTCTACTCCTATAAAGTATAAGGAGTTACTAAAGAAAAGAGCTAGATACTTATAACTAATAGGTTCTTAGGCCTATAGTAGGACCTCTACTTTATAGATTATTACATAGCAAAGTTAATTATTAAGGTAACGTAGTTCACAAGCGAGCGGTCCAACCCAAGCGAGTGGTCCACCTAACAGAGTTAAGATGATTGCAATGCATATGCTGCAACACCACCACCACTTACTGCAATTTGCAGGTGATAGAGATACTATTTAGACTTGTCGCTATTAGATGCATTAACAATTTCAACTGCACAGGTGTGAGTGTTGTGGCTAGTCTCTCTACAACGTCCGCAACGCCTCTGTGTGCGCACCTTCTTTACAGGCTCTCTGCCCCCCTGCTGCCCACTACCCTCCCTTTTAGCTATTAAATCAGCTACCTTACCTACCGTGAGACTCTCTGCTGCCTAAATACACTTCCTCTTTTAACCTCTAACCTCTGTTGCTATCTCTACTGCCTTGCAAAGCCCTGCTATTTCCTGTTGCATTAACACGCTATCATGCCCTATCTGTGCAATGCCCTTGTTCAGCTGCTCAACTGCTCTAAGCAGAGGAGAAACTGGGGAATCTCTGTGCAGTTGTACACGCTCACGAACTAGCGTTAACTGAGCCTCTATCTTACAGAGGTTGCTTAGAGTTTTCAATTCCTATGGGGTGTCCTCTGGCTTTGGTGGAGTTAGTGTACAAAGGACCACATCAAGCTTTGATATCACCGCCTCTAGGTTGTGTAGAACTAGTCCAGCGCCCCTAAAGCCTGCACAGATGTTCTCCTTTGTAATTAACCTCTTAAAAGCTGCTTTAAAGGCTAGTAGGAAAGCCTCCTTCTTAATCTGCTTAGAGCCGTACTATGCCAAGCTACTAATCTTATCACCATATGCCCGCTTTAAAGGCGAAAAGCAACCCACATCAAGTAGCTGTAGCAGGTGCGACGAGTGAGCAGGCATACAGAGAACAATAATCTTCTCTTCCTTACAGTGTTTGTGGAATTCATGTGAGCTGTGGCTCTTATAGCCGTCCACAATTAGCAGCCTGTGTGCACCCACCTTCTAGTCTTTTGTATAGGTATTGAAGTGCTTCAGCCAGGCAATACCAAGCTTATTTAACATCCAGCTATTAGGACTAACCTTAATTACCTAATCCTAAGGTAGATTGTGAAACCATAAGGTAATAAGGACCTTGCCAGGGAAGATAAGGAAGGGTAGGATAGCCTATCCTTTAGCGTTAACTCCTTGTATATTAGTGACCTAACTACAGTTCCCTAGCTGCAGGCTCTTTGTGCTACGCTTCTCAGAGCCTATAAAGACTATCTAGCTATAGATAACCCCTATTATAAAGCCTGTCTTGTTAAAGTTGTACATGTCTTCGTCTGTGATGCTGTACTTAGCCTTTGTGTTAGCAACTAGCTTAAACTAGGGCGTTATAACGCGTGCATCTTCGTTAAGGGCTTGCTGGCGATTATATGGACGGCTCCTTCGAAGCTTGATCTCAGGCGTACGCGTCTTGAAGTTGTCTACCCAGTGCTTGCCAACAGGCTCTCCACCGCGCTCAGCAAGCAGATCATTGGCCATATCTCGCACTATAGCCTTTGTAGCAGGTATTCCTCTTGTGTCAAGCTCAAGTATACGTTGTACAAGGGCCTCCTCCTCTAGTTTGCTCAGCTTCTTTAAATTAGGCTCGCGATCGCGTTGAGAGAGGGCTCCTTGGCGCTATTAGCAGACAGTAGTTTAAGGTACGCTGAAGGCTGCAATAGCGCGTCTTTTACTCTTATCACAATCTTTAATTATAGCTTAGATAGCAAGCTGTAAGGTCCCTTTAGTATAGGTTAATTGCACGTTGCGTTGGGATAGCATTGTAATGCAAAGTAGTTATTAGGCTATCATGGTTGGGATGGACCGCTCGCTTGGGTTGGACCGCTCGCTTGTGAACTACGTTACTATTAATATTTGTCCTTTTCTTAAAAAATTACTATAATATCTTAGTTAAGACTATTAAGGCAGATAACAAGATAGCTATAGTTAAACTAGACGTATTAAAATAGCTAGCAACACAAGGAGTTATTGTGGAGCCTTTAGCGCTAGACACACAAGCACAGAACAGTAAC